GCAGGTTCTACGGCAAGAGGCTTCATTTAACACGGCTGACGCCAAACCTGTTAACATGATTGCAGCAGTGGAATCAATCCTTTGTCAGACGTATCGACCTGTGTCATTCGGTTTCTCATTGGGTAACTAGTTGCCTGTCTAACACCAATCAAATATACCCAATTAAAACACGAACAGGTAAGCGGTGGCATAAGAATGAACACGCTGGTGCATTTGTTTACTTGGCATCCAGCTTGCCTGGAAGCACGATGACAACCTTCCAGTCACAGGAGTACAGACCCTTCAACCTCTTGGAAAGAGACCGGAAACAGGGCAGGTTATGTGACTTCACATTCTTTGTAGGTTCTACTATTTGGTAATTCTGATGTATTCAAAGGCGAATGGTGTGCGCATTGTGGCGCACAAGGTTGTTCTCGCAGCCACGATCCCCTTCTTTAGAGAGGCCTTCCTTCATGGCGGGGAATGTGCCGAATTCGAGGAGTTGGAGGGGCTTTCGCCTGAGTAAGTATGCCATATGAAATTTGCCTGACGTATTTTATAGGATGATAGAAATGATCATTAGTTTTGCGTACAATGGAAGGATTGAGATTACGGAAGCCATCTTGGGTGAACTGGTGGAGGTGGCTAAAAAACTGCGAATAGACAGTTTGAGGGCACGGTGTGCTGAATACATTTCAACGCGGTAAGTTACCCGAACCCTTTGACTCCAACACTTTACGGATTTGTGGTCTTAACGGCAAGATTGGACTTGGCAAATTTACTCGTGATGTGTTATTTGATGGACTAAACGGCAGTTACAACTGAGTTTCAAGAAAGAATCTGATGGTGAAATAATATAAGTAAGCAATTTCTGGCGAGATAATTGTAGTTATCTGAGACAGCCCATGTGTGCTAGTCTGAATTACAGTGATGTTAGGTCGATTTATGCAGTGATTGTTCGTCTTAAATTTTCTTTTAACCTAAAAATCAAAAGGGACATATTCTATTTTGAGTCCCAACACCAATGTTCATCTAGGTCTGAAATTATTGAAAAAGAAAATGTATATATATATATATATTTATATTTATATAATAACTAAAACCTTTCTTGTGGGTAGTTGATGATTATCTGAGACAGACAGTATGAGCTAACCTGTATTAGAGGGATCTTTGATCGAACTATGTGTCGACTGTCCACATTGAAAGTTCTTCTATCCTGACAGCTGGAAGGCACTCATTACAATTTAAGTTAAAGCAACAATGTACAGCCAAGCGTGAAATCCGTGAAACATTAAGTAACATAGTTATTTACATTAGTTGACCTTAATCATGGAATAAGTCCAAAGCTACGAAAAATCTTTAATCATTGTCGAAACGCGTCCGAGTGCATCCAGCCAAACACCAAATTGACGATGCGTCACCGTCAGTTAGATTAAATAACAAGAGAAATATTGAGAAAAACCAATTTATTAGTAAGAAATAAACATTAACTCAAGTAAATCAGAAATGCCGGAAGGGCAAAAATTCGCGTCAAATTGATTGACTTAATTTTAGAATTGCGCGAAGCCTGTCCGTGCATATTACAGAGTAAACAAAGCGACCTAGACAGGAAATTTTAAAAGGCTGATCTTTATACATGATTGCACTGGAATTGTCCCATGATCTGTAAGACACCCCACCGTACATCGATTCGCAAGTGGTAGTTGTGAACTTTCGAACAATCACAGATCGTTCGGCTTGGCATCAATCTGCTGCAAAGTCACAAAGACCATTAAAAAGACATTCATGAGTTCTTTGAAAGCCCACTATATCTTGTCCAATGTACAATACGACTTTCTTAAGGGAAGATCGTGTATGGAAAACTTTCTCTACAAAATATAACGCTGGTCAGGCATACTCAGTGAAAAAAACACACTTCGCAGGCCGCCTACATTGATGTGATGAAGGTTATTGGCGGTAGCCATCATTGTAATGTCTAGCTGTAGCGGTTGTGGATGTCGAGGATAGCACACAACACGGTAACGTAGCACGGGGATTAGATCCTGGATAAGACCGATCAGAATGGAGTCGTTAACTCTTCACAATACTCATTCACACGAAAGGAAGTGAGAAACGTTAGGTTGGAAATAAAGGCATAACCGAAATAGATGGAAGTGTCACTTCACCCAAATAACTCTACACAGTTCTTAGTGTCGTTTCATAACGTCCTTGTTTAACATCCCACCACCCTCAAGATCATTCATTTTTGGCAGCGAGTAATCGTCGCCGGCTACTGTGTCCCTTATTCTGGTGACTTTTGTCCTTTCCTACTGTTCGGGGCTTGACCTGAGTACCAACGTCTCCTATACAAACTGAGAATAGTGGGTATCAGGGACAAACCTCTTAAATGGATCGAAAATTTCCTCATCGGCCCATCTCAGTTTGTCTGTGTATATCATTAGCAATCAAAGCGTACAGTCATAATGGATGAAGTCTCACATGGTTCAGCGCTAGGATCGACCCTGTTCCTCTTGTTTACCACTTATTGTGTACAAGAATCGGACTGGGACTGTGTCATGTTCGCAAACGATATAAAATCTGGAAAGTCATTCGCAGTGCTGCCGACTAAGCGGACTTCTAAGAAAATCTTTGTCCGTTGGAAGAGTGGTCCCGTAGACGGCTCCGGTCATTCGACTGAAACAAATGCACCACGCATCGTCTTGATAGTCGATACCGAGTCTCTGATAGGTGCATCTACCATCTAAACGGGATACCACCTCCAGAAGCCGAAACGCAGAATGATCTCGGCGTTTTGATGGCCAACACGCTACAGTCTTCTGAACACTCTTGTAAAGCGACTGAGGGCACAACCACAGAGCTGTACGCTATCAAGCGGACATTCACAGTCTTCGACGAAGACAGCATCTCCAGAGTCTTTGGTAAGCCTGTGAGGTTTAAACATGCGGTTCAGACTTGGAGACCATAACTTACTCGAAAGAGCGCAGAGGCTAGCAACAGAGTTACTAGGAGGTCAATGAGCACTGTTATACGAGACCCGCTTAGCTGACCTAAATCTCTATCCTCTGAATCATGTGCAATTACGCGGGGGCTTGATAGGGACTTTTGGTTACGTTCGTGGTTTGGACTGCGTCTCACGGTGTGGGGACATCTTCCAACTCGCCACAGCAACCAACCTCAGGAGGCTTCCTTCCAAGTAAATGTGTCCCACGGAATACTGTATGTAGAAGAGTATTTTTCCACAAGTCGTGTAGTGGAACCATGGAATAACCCGCCCGAGGCGACTGTGATGTCTCAGTCTGTGGAGATATTGAAATATCACCTTGACAGACACATGTTTTAGCAAGAATCGGACTGCGTGATTACGAAGTCTTAAAAACAAACGCACTTATGTGAAGCCAGGTATGCTTCCAATTAACACTGTAACTTCCCTACGTTATGGCTAATTCCACGAATTTGTATGAGATAAATGAGGAATCGAAAGGCGTAAGTACATTTCCCTCAAATACACCGGACGGAAATTCACACAGTTATGAGCGTACTGTTTGTTCTTGTTTTTTAAAGCTTTTTGTTAGAATTTTATGCAACGTTCTCCGTTTTCGTATTGCTCAAGATGAAGCTGATCAAAAGAGAGAGAATTTACCTGATTTAGCTGATAGGAGCGTCACAGGTCGCATGCCGAGAGGCCGGCGAGCGACTCAGAAATTGAAGTAGAATTGGCAGACTCGATTGTAATCATGTCCTTTTCTGAGCATTAGAAGAACTTTTCTTCATTTATATTACTGTGTGTGTTTTGACGACGGTGTAGTCGGCTGAGTTGCAGGGTGCATTTTACATATTAATGAACTCTTCGCAGATTTTCGTATTCTTAATCGACAGTTCAAAAATGATAGTTTCTGCACTTTGTCTGCGAAAGCCCCCAAAATAAGACATATTTTAAGAGCATCAACCTAACGATTAAGCTCTTAGGCATCACCAAATATGTCACCTCATCAGTTGCTTAAAATGGACGTAATAAATATAATATTGCTCAAGCTATTAAAGATATGTCCGTTCTGTTTTTAAATAACGTATTAGCAGAAAACTAGACGGCGCAGAATGTATCTTAAAACGTGCTCGTAAATTCGAATAGCCGCCCGAAGGTGGCCATTTGCATTGTTTCTTATAGGATATCCGCAGATATCAGTAAATATGGATGTTTCAAAACATAGGATTGTCTGTAGGCACACGATCAAAGTGGTCTACAAATCCGAATTTTTTAAATTAATAATTATCTAACTTTTTTGAAAATGACGTGCTTGATCACACTCTGTTTCATATTAATTACGCGAAGCCAAAAACACAATTTCGGGATGGCTGACATTTGGATTGGCAAACGCTTACAGTTAAGGTTGCTGCACTCATGTAGATAAGTGACAGTTCGACCATCGGTTTCTATGATGTCCACTGTGTGCCCCACAGTTGCAGCAGCAATGGGAGCAGGGACGGTGACTTAAGCAGGGGTTTATAGTGCCGGTAGACTTACCAAATATATATTTGGCGTCTCATTACCTTCTTAAAATGGACGTAAGAAATGTAATATTGCTCAAGCTGTTAAAGGTACATTAGGTAGGCTAACTCATGAAATGCCAACCGAAATTCCGAAATGCGTTTTCATTTCGAAAAGATAGATTAAGTAGGTTTGTAAAAGTGGTCAGTCTACGACATACTTCTATAATATTTTAGCTACCCCATGATGTTGGCTTTTGAATGAACTTCCTTCCGGCTGCATGCAGAAATTACACTCTGTAAAAATGGCTACTTAATTGGCATAAATTTTTATCTTTGATTTTCGATGCCCTCAAATGTCTAATGAAATTTCATGGAAAACATGCATAAACCTATTCATTCTTCTACCTATTCGGTGTTAAATTACGTCTACTTTCAATTTTATACTCGAAGGAGGGCATTTAAATACCGTGAAAAGGCCGTTCATGAATTTACATGTCTCTGCATTTACCAATGTGGCTTGTAAAGTTAACAATGTGGATCAAATCCACTGTTAAATTTTATGAACCCTGTACGGTCCCCCTTTATTACCGTAGAGAAATCTGTGATTTTCCGCACGCGGAACATATACGACTTGTAGATTGGAAATCCAGAATCCAAGTGCAACGATAGAGCGAGTTCAAAATTATTCGGGAATTGGAAAAGTTTTTGGAAACCGAATCATACCCTTGCTTTGTGTATAAAATTGGAAGAAGATGTCATTGTCTACCGAATGAGCAAGAGAATGAATAATTATATGCATGTTTTCCATGAAATATAATTTGACACTTAGGGGCAACGAAAATCAATGAGAAAAATCATGCCAATTAAGTAGTCGTTTTTTTTACAGTGGGTAGTTTTTGCATGCACCCGTAAGGAAGTTCATTCGACAGCCGACATCCTGCGGTAACTGACAAGTTTGGACTCACCAAATATGACACCTCATCACCTGCCTTAAATGGACGTAAGATATGTAATATTGCTGCAGTTGTTAAAGCCATGCCCGATCTGTTTCTAAATTACGCATAAGCAGAAAACTAGACGACACAGAAGGTATATATATACATATATATATTCGAATGGTCGCGTGAAGGTGCCCATTTGCACCGTTTCTTATAGAACACTCGCACATATCAGTAAATATGGATTCTTCAAAACATGGGATTGTCTGTAGGCGATGTTACAACTTTTAGGACGCAAGATCAAAGTGCTTTACAAAGTCGAACTGCTTAAATTGAAAAAGTGTGTGATGTTCTCAAAATAACGTACTTGTTCACACTCTGTTTCATATGAATTACGCGAAGCCAAAAACACAGTTTCGAGATGGACGACATTTGGATTGTCAAACGTTTCCAGATAGGGTTGCTGCACAAATGTAGATAACCACGTACTACAGCACCGACTTGGTCCAGCGCATTTAGTATCATAGGAAAGTACTCGAATATAAGGTGACTTTGATTTAAGCTCAAATTGCAAAAACTAATCTGCATACAAAAAGGATCATTTGCGGAGCGAGTAAGACGAATAAGTAAACTGCACAACGTTTAAGATGTCCAAAAATTAGTATCACCGTTTCCATCGTCACGTTCCGTGAGTTAAATCACACACTATGTGCATTCACATGGAGAGTGGTAGTTTACTCATGGTAGGGTTCAACCTTCGGGGTAAATATTTTCTCAGTCAACCCGACTGGCGCATTCAAGACAAAACAGCAAGACTCCTTTTTATGCACTTCCGAGGCTACAGACGTGTGCTGATGGTCCACCACAATGCTTCAAGTCACAGCATTGCGCCATCAGTCCCCAACTCCGTTCTGGGCTTTCTGAATTTCGCAGACTCTTCCATTCCTCATCGAAATAGTAAATTGGATTGGTGGCGATTACCAATTCCAGCATGTACTGCGCAAGCCTATTTCCCCAAATATACTGAACTGAACTTCACGTAGTTAAGTGCTCACTGCTTGATCATTTTCTTAAATAGCTTTCTCCAAGAATTTTATGCAAGTTTTCTCCTTTTCTTATTGGCCGAAGTGACGCTGATTAAAATGACGAGGATTTCGCTTAATTTTGCTGATAGAAGCGTCATAAGAAAGCCACTTTTCATAAAAATGCATGTTGAGAGGCCGGCCAGCGGCTAAGAAATTGAAGTAGAATTAGCAAGTGAAGTCGTAAGCATATCGTATTCTGCATATAGAAAGACGGTGAAGTCGGGCGAGTTACGAGGTGCCTTTTAGGTCCATGAATGCTTTGCAGATTCCAGTATTCTTAATTGACTGCTCAAGGAGAGAGGTCCTGCGTTTCATGTTTATCAAAGCCTCCAACATAATATAGCTCATAAAAGTGTCTACCAAAGCAATGAGTGCTTGAGCATTCCTTTTCATGCTGATGGCCGTTCGGATGACATTTTTAGATTCGCCAAACATGAAACCTCACCGTCGACATAAAGTGAACGTCCATAACCAAGGCATTAGACGAATATGCTTTTCTACCGTTTAAGACTAGTCTCTGATGAGTTAATCCCTAAAAAGCGCTTTAGTATGGTATTTTGCCGACTGCCGTCCATGCACAACATCTATCTTAGTGTGAATTCCCCAAAAATAAGTTATATTTTTCTGTCGCAGACGACAGAACTGGCATTCGTTTCAGATCGCAATCATTTTTGTTATCATTGTTACCTTTATGATTCCTTTTACGATAAACAATATTCCACATGAGGGGGTGAACCTGTTAACGCTGTGCGGGTTCTGTTTCTCAATTACACATTAGCAGAAACTAGACGGTGAAAAAAAGCATCATGCCATGTTCTGGAGAGTTCAAGTGACCGTTCGGAGATTGTGTTTGTAGACTTTCTTTTAGTACACTCAAAATCATTTACAAATCCGGATTTTTTAAATTGAGAAATGTGTCTGTTTTTCTCAAAATAACGTGCTTGTTCACATCCCATCTCACCTGGCATACGCGAAAGGAAAAACAGTTTCCGGGTGGACGATACCTGCCTTGTTGAATTCTTCCACTCCAGATCACTGTCCTCCTATAGATAAACACGTTTGAATGCACAAACTTGGTGTACGGTATTTAGTATCCGAATATGAGGTGACTTTAACTTAAGCTCAAATGGCAAAACTGCTCTGAACACAATTATTTAAAACGGATTCTGCTTACAAAAAGGAGCATTTGCGGGACGCGTAAAGCGAATAAGTAAACCGCACAACGTTTAAGATTTCCCAAAATAAGTATCTCAATTTGCTTCATCAGGTTTCATGGGTAAGATCGCAAACTGTGTGCATTCACATTAAGAGTGGTAGTTTAAAGTGAATAATTTCAGAAATCACTCACTGCAGGACTTGGAGCTAAATATCCGGGACATGACTTTTAGGGTCAAAACCGAAATTTCAATGAACATTCGAGTCGAATACAATTAACTACTGTGGAATAACCATGTAATGCCCATTCTACAAACAAGCAGTAATTCGAGTAGTATGAAATCCATAAGGTAAAGGTATTATACCGTATTCTCGACACAGATACTTGCTAAAAGCCCAGACACGTGTTTCGCCCATAATCTGCCGCTGCGTGACACAGCTGCGAGGGGTTCGGCACTTCAGTGAGATTCCGAAAAAGTCATGTCCCGGAGATTAACTCCAGGTCCTGTTAGTTCACGCATGGTAGGGTGCAACCCGCGGGGTAAATATTTTGTCAGCCGGCCCGGCTGGCGTAGGCAGGGCAAAACAGCATGACTCCTGTTTATGCACTTCCAAGGCTACAGACGTGCGCTGATGGTCCACCACAATGCTTCAAGTCACAGCATTGCGCCATCAGTCCCCAACTCCGTTGTGGGCCCTCTGAATTTTGGCACACTTCCCCCTCCCCACCAAAATAATATCAGGCATTGGGGTTGACTGCCAAATTGAGCTTGCACCGCAAAATACACCTCTTCCAACGTGTTCATGTTTAATTCAATGCTTTTAATGCCAGTTAAAATAACAGGTCCTAAGTACCCAGCAGCATATGCTGGTTTTACCCACACATTTCTGTCGCCAGCTTAAGCCTCAACTCCATCCACCTCGTCCTGGAGCTGGCACACAATTTTGCCATGGAGGACATTGTTGAGGCGTGTATGCAGGGCTTTGCGAATGCTTTTGACGCTTGCATCGATGAGGGCGTAATCTGTGAAATTGGAGAAGAGGAGTTCTGTTCCCTTCTGACGAGGCCTGATCTGCGCATCAAGGGTGAGGCCTCCCTTCATCGCAGCATCGTCTGCTGGTTGGAACATCGCATTACTGAGGGGGACTTTCGGGCATCTGGGCAGAGCGTGTTCGAGTTTCTTGCGTCCTATCCGCACCTTTTCGGGACAATCTGTTCGCTCTTCTTAAAGGTGGACAAAGCCGTGCACTTCATGTGCTCTTCAGATAAGTTACCATTCAGGCAAGTCTCTTGTCCAGCATATCGGTAATTCTTGCTCTATTGCAGGTTAAGATGTCCGCGTTTTAACTGTTGAGCAACTGTTTGCTCGCCTGCATTGTTCACTCAACTGAATGCATACGTTTCGAACCGTGCTCGGTCTTTCTGCACTTTCACAGTTTGCATGTTTACCTTCACGGGGTACACTGAAGCAAGTGATTTTTAGCCATACTTTCAGCTAGGAGAATTATATGAGCGAGCAAATCGATGCTGATTAGCGGTACTTAACGCATTTTCGTATTTTTTAGACCTACTTACATATTTTCAAATGTAAATGCTCCGTAGGTACAGCATCACATACATACACCACTACATAGTGGCGCTTATGAATGCTCCGTATTGCCTCCTTTGATTTTCGACCGGTGCTTTCAAGGCTGTCACCGGAAAACATTGCGGCGTATTTGCGAATTTCGGAGGAATTCGGATTCGTTGATGTAACTGCCCTCATTGAGTGGACACTATGCAAAAATTTTGAGGAGTTTGCTACGACAACAGCCTTCACCAAACTATCGAGCAGTCAATTAAAACGCCTTCTGGCTCGTGATGACCTCGTCGTTGCCAACGAGGCTACGGTCCTTCGTTCATTGATCACTTGGCTCAATACACAGATGCTGGACAGAGCAACCCGCCAGTCGGCGTTTGAGGATCTGTTTGCCCTTATTCGTCTGCTCCAAATTCCCGCAAACATCCTGCATGACATAGTATCAGAGTACAGTGACTGTTCCACAAGTGTCAAATCTCGGTAAGTCTTTAGATGTGAACTCAACAAGTTTTCTTTTTCTCCTCATCGTCACCCTCCCTCAGTTTTTTGCTCGTCAATACCCTATTTGCATGACAGTAGGTACAAATAAGTTTTGTGAAGAAACACTAGCAGCGCTAAACACACCACGGTTGGTTCTCCCATAGCCTTAGTCGATGGAATGGCAGAGAACGTTTCGGTCAGATGGGCAGATCAAGTTCGCATCACCATACGTGAACTGCTGACCGAGGCAGCTCCCAGTGTCGAGTCAGTCGACTAATAAACTTATGAAGCCGTAACACCACAGATAACCTATTAGTAGTGTCTAGCGTTCATTCAAAAGTTGGCTTAAAAGTCGCCCAGTTCTTTGACCGCAAACTCTCGTCATTTGTGGACGATGAAATCTATTCCACTTGTGGCACCACTGTCTTTCCGCGCTGCACACCGTCAATGTAAACGTAGAGACGTAAGTGTAAAAAGCAGGAAGAATGATCTGTAGCCGCAGCGAATCAATTAAAATCAGAACTGTGATAATCAATCGCGACTTCTGTACTCCGTTCCAACTGATGACTTTGACATACAGTAGATGGGCTTACTCATGAAATGTCAACCAAAATTTTGAAATGCGTTCTCGTTTCGAAAATATAAATTAAGTAGTGTTGTAAAACTAATCATGATGCAGCATAAACCTATAATGATCCAGTTACCTCAGGGTGTCGGCTTTCGAAAGAACTTATTTTCGGCTGCATGCAAGATCTATACTCTGCAAAAAATGACTACCTAAGTAGTATGCAATTTTCTCATTAATTTTCGATGCCCTTGAAAATTCCATTATATTTCATGGAAAACATGCATAAAAATATTCAATCTTCTACTTATTTGGTAGAAAATCACGTCCTCTTCCAATTTCATACTCAAAAAAGAGTATAAGTCGGTTTTAAAAAAGTTTCTAATTCCCGAATAATTTTGAACCCGACCTGCTGTTACACTTGCATTCAGGGTTTCAAAACTACAAGCTGTATATTTTCCGTGTACGGAAAGCCATGCATTTCTCTACGGTGTTAAGAGGAGACCATATGAGGTTCATAAAATTAAGCAGTGGATTTGAGCAATATTGTCAACTTTACAAGCCCCATTCGTAAATGCAGATACATGACGTTTCATGAACGGCCATTTAACCTAATTATACCCTTTTTTGAGTATGAAATTGGAAGAAGACGTGATTTTCTACAAAATAAGTAGAAGATTGAATATTTTTATGCATGTTTTCCATGAAAAATAATGGAATTTTCAAGGGCATCGAAAATTAATGAGAAAATTGCATACTACTTAGGTAGTCATTTTTTGCAGAGTATAGATCTTGCATGCAGCCGAAAATAAGTTCTTTCGAAAGCCGACACCCTGAGGTAACTGGATCATTATAGGCTTATGCTGCATCATGATTAGTTTTACAACACTACTTAGTTTATATTTTCGAAACGACAACGCATTTCAAAATTTTGGTTGACATTTCATGAGTTAGCCCATCTACTGTACTTGGTTATAGTGTCTATTTGGTGCTAGCTTCTGGTAGTCAAATTCTTGACTTCCGAGTTCTATGCGGTCCGGTGTGGAACAGGTAGAATCGGCCCTGAATTGTTCCCCCAAGGTCATTTTCTTATGCGGCACATTGCATGATCATCCAGCTCTCTTGGTAACTGTCCCCGTATGGTAACTTCTCTGCTTTACTTCTGTGCCGGTGAACTACAGTGAGTGACCGATCTCATGAAATGTTGGCTAGAATTCTGAAATGCGTTTTCGACTAGGAAGGACTACTTAGGAGCGTTTGTAATGCTGGTTATCTTGCGCCATAATACTATAATATTTCTGACTTGGCAGGATATCGGCTTTTGAATACACTGCTTTTCAATCTCCCGTAGAGGCCCCACTCGGTAAAAATGGCTACTTAAGTATCATGCATTTTTTACCTTGATTTGCGATGGTCTCGTAAATTTAAATATATCTTATAGAAACCATAAACAAAAATATGCTTTCTTTCAGTCGTTTGATAGAGAATTGCACCTTCTTTATAGTTTAGGCTCAAGGAAAGAGTATAATTAGGTTTTAAAAAAGTCTTCTAATTGCCGAATAATTGGAGCCTGATCATTTGTTGCATTAGCGCTTACTGATCTCATTCTACAAGGTGCATGCGTTCCGCGTAATGAAAATAACATAATTCTCTATGCCGTTAGACGGATATCATCAGAGTCCATAAAATTTCGCCGTGAATGCGGACTATGCTGTACATTTCATGAGGAGCCGCGGTGAACGGCCAGATACGATGCTATGTGAATGGAGATTGCGAGGTCTTCAGAAATCTCATAATTAGAAACTTTTTAAAACCTAATTATACTCCTTCCTTGAGCATAAAATATAAAGGAAGTGCAATTCTCTATCAAACGACTGAAAGACAGCATATTTTTGTTTATGATTTCGATAAGATATATTTACATTTGCAAGACCATCGAAAATGAAGGTAAAAATGCAGGCTACTTAAGTAGCCATTTTTTACCGAGTGGGGCCTCTATGGGAGACTGAGAAGCAGTATATTCAAAAGCCGATATCCTGTCACGTCAGAAATATTATAGGATTATACCGCATGATAGGCAGTATTACAATTGCTCCTAAGTAGTCCTTCCTAATTGAAAACGCATTTCGGAATTTCAGCCAACATTTCACGAGATCGGTCACTCACTGTAGTTGATCAGGCTCAGCAGCTTGCCAATGCCTGCCTAGACTTTAATGCTTCGCCCAAAATGGACGTTGTAGGCCGTCTTCTCCGAGAAAGTGCCCGTGTGTCGTAAGTTCGTAAGATCTGTACTATAGCCATCATATTGGATTTCCCTTGAGATCGATCAACACCTCCTGGACTTCTAGACGCACATCCAGTACCTTTAGGTGGCATTAACTCCTTAAGCCCTCTGCAATTTAGCTGATGAATTTGACTTACCTGACTGCCATAAGCATTTGATACTGCCTTCTGTCAGGCAAATTTTCGAAATGCGCCTTCGTCGTGCTCCGCACGGAACGGATCGGGTCAGCTTTAAGTCGTCTTCCAAAATCCTTTACTTGCGTGGTCCATTGCGCAATCAACTAATTCCCCTGACAGCTATCGTCACAGGATAACTTTTTGGTGTATCAAAAGAAACTGTCTTAAAAATTGCATAACAAGTAAACACAACTTGTCTCCTTTGATAGGGAACTCATTCAGCGGGCCCAGCAGTTTGCCAGCGCCTGTTCAACATCAGTCCTTCAGCCAGAAGAAGCATTGACGGCCACCTTCTCTAGGAAACCACGCGTCTACCGTGATTCTGGCAGACCTGTGTTATTTGCCCTCAGTATTCTGCTCCTTGAGGAAGATAAAAGCCTCCTGGTAGCGTACGAATCGCAGCAGGACGCATGGAACACTGTTGCTCGAATTGGTTGCAGTTATGACGTCCCTGTAGTTGGCTTTGGTGGTACGTTCTGTTCCTTGTTCACTAGCTTCAACAAGCAGACTGTTTTTTTTACCAGAGTCTCGGTACCTGCTTACTTCCACAAATTTTATTCAGACTTGTGCAGGCGCATCCGTCAGCGTTGCGTTTTGCAGTCATTTGTACCTGTAAGATTACTTACGGTGTGCGTGTGTGTGGGGTGTAGAGGTGTCCATATGTGGGTCCATGTGATTGTCGTAGTATGTCGCTCACTTGCTTGCAGGTGTAGACTACTCCTAGCGTTCATTAACTAACACCCAACTCTTACGTGTGGCCCCCCGAAGCTAGGCTACGCCTAACGACCACGCCCCAGTAACCGCCTCGACAGGGGGGCTAAGCCAGTTTGAGGGTATCCGGTGTTGTTGTGTTTCTACACCCGGTAACGCTTCTTCCTCTTCCCCCTCCACTACTCCCTCGCCGTTCCCCTCCACCCTTTACTTACCCCTCCTGTTTTCTTCTACCTACTGTCTACTCTGTTTACTCTCTGTTCTTCTCTTTCCCCAAGTAAATAAAATGATTCTCTAATCGAACCCTGCGATCCTTGGTGGAGAGCGGTATCCGTCTGATGTGATTAAGCAGTCCCAGTTAAGGAGAGCACTGCTTATCCCCACTATGGGTGGGGGGCTATAAAAGGTGCTCTGATAGGTTGCTGGGTTAACAACATCTGCGCGCAGACCGTAGACTACAATACCTGCATTCGAAACCGTCACACGAGAAACAGTAATCTCTCTTTTCCTCCCTCCAGCCTTCTGCCCTCCGCCGCATTCTGGGTTCTCCGTGATAAATTCTTTCTAAAAATCCGATCGGCTAAGTGTTTTTATTCATACGTCAGCTGAATAACCTAGCCAAAACGTCGATATAGGTTTACTTTTTATGGGTACTCAGTGCGTTATATTTTTTATAACCTGTATCATTTAAATAACGCAATAATTGGTAACAATCGAGAGATGGCACCCAAAAAAATCCTCCTAACCAGAGCAGCCTGTCTTACGGGACAGGTGGTAATAGGGGTTTTATGGGTGGTGGCTAGTTGGGATGTACGATACTAGCCGACGGAAAGCCTTATTTGAACAGGTGAATGAGCGAAGTTGGCCCGCTCTCTGTTCCGTTATTACAAAATAGGTCGCCGAAGGCAGTATAGTGGCAACGGGCGAGTGGAAGACGTATAATCGTCTTCCCTCAGAAGGTTATCTACATTTCTCTGTTAACCACTCAAAGAACTTCAAGGACCCTACAACTGGACGACATACCAATGCCATTGAGGCATACGGGAGTAGACTGAAAAGGAAACTCCACGGGGGAGGCCCTGTATGTGGTCGAGCTGTGTGGGCTCACATAGACGAAGTACAGTACCGTCTTTGGTTTGGCCTCAATGTCATGTCTTTGACAGATGCCTGGGAACTGTTCCTGTCCTATATTGTGCAGACTTATCCTATTTAAAAGTGATTTTGTTTTGTAATAAACTGTCTTAGTGCGAATGTATGCCGTATAATCAGGTGTACGTGTGTAACGATGGGGAAGGTTGGGTAACAGCGACCATCATCCATGTAACCTCCTGCGATGTTCGTTCGGCCAGCCCATGTTAGGCTGTCGGGGAAAGTCCAAGTAGTGCGTGAAAATAGGCCTGCAACCGCTGATATAGCCTGAAGGCGTTTGAGTGCACTGTTAAAGGTATTATTTCTAGGTAACGGATTTTTTTGTGTGCCATCTCCCGATTGATACCCAATAATTTACTTTGAAACGTCTAACAATGTCGACAGCTTTACAGATAGAGAGTTTTAGGATTAAGAATAATTCTGTTTCTATGGTTCGAACAGACTCCATTTACGCATTCGGAGAAGCAAGAGGAAGCAAGAACTTGGTGATTTTTACACCAGGCACCGGCGAGCGCAGACGAGGCTCTGCAGCACCTGGAGGCCAGTTATGCCATCGTGCCGTTGTTTTCGGCAAGAAGATCCTCGTCGCGAGTACAGTCAGCAGTTCCAGTCTCTACAATCCTCTTTCAGACACGTGAGTTTACGCTACCCTCAGCTAAAATGTCGACAAAGACTTTCTCGGGTCAGATTACGAGAATTTGGGGTTCTAGAAGAAGATTGGGAAACAGACGACGAGGTAGTTATGGGAACTGCGTATGGATGTACTAAATTACAGCATTTCCACCCAACGACCTAGAAAACACTCACTTCAGAAGTGCATTTGACGAGCTGACGCGTGCTTTCGACAAATTCTTATCGGTCCTGTACGTTTATATGGGAAGGAGGTAAAAACTGAACGTGTGAGTGATAAGTGCAATCGATTACGGTTCGTCCTTTCATACAAACATACAATACTTACTTCGCTAACTAGGCTGCGGTTCCCCGACAAGGAAAGGTGTCTGTTTGGGCCATTGTCCAGCCTCTCCAACTATCGGTCTCATCCACCTCTAGACATTGTTGTCACAAATAAACAGCCCTCAATTCATCTGAGCTGCTTCATTTCCCATCGGATGAAATAAAACTGGTGAATGCTTGTTATTTAAATTTACATTAGATTATTCCTCCACCTCTCTGTTTGCACGCGCGATACTGGCTCGGAACTCTGGGCTTCGTCTCTGTTGGCGGTGGCATGACGAAAAGAAATCCAGGATGAACTGCCATTACGGGTTCATTTGATGGCATCCACACCACGTTCCAAGTCTTGGGACACCGGCCATGTTATGTTCTGTAACCAACATCAGCTAAGAACAATCCCTGGGACTCGCAATGTTTTCGATCGCAGATCCTAAATCCATGAATTAAAGAATGGAACGTCTGACGCAACTGCTCGATCGATCAAAGCTCCAAGTTCATGGATCGCAATTGGAAGATGGCGATCTTTTTACGGCAGATAAATCCACAGTGGATATTATAGGCTTCCCTACCTTTGACTGCGTTCCAGCTGCATTGTTAGGTGTTTGGCTTATTTTGAAATTTACACAGACTGGATTGGTGACCGATTGAGCCTCTCCCAGACATCAGCCACAGCGACTGACCCGATAACAGGAATCGCCACTTTATCCTCCTTATCGTTAGTAATCCTTGGGGGTGAATGATAACTGCCCTATTACGTCTCAACCCCTGGCGGTTCATGAGACAATGATATTAGCCAGTATGTCCACCTCCCTTCTAGGTGGTCCGAGGGGCCGGGATGCGAGTTCGATCTGACTATTTCCTGCTTGATCTCCGTTCGTGAGCGTCATGTCCTGGCCCTGAGCACTTACACGGAGGATCCAAAAGCGTTCTGCTGGTCTCCGCTTGTCGTCAAACCGGGCACCATTGGGAGCCAAGCAGAAGCAAAGAAGTGGACAGAAATGCCGTTTCCTGACTGCCAGCCCAGTAATGTCAGCGGTGTAGAAGTTAACGGGCAGATTTTCGTGGTTGAGATGGCATTCAAGGGCCAAAGTAACCAATTAGCAATGTTCATTTCCGTGAACGATGCTCACCCCGATGCTTGGGTACCAGAGGGGCAGTGGACTGTAATTACTGAAATGCCCTTCCACAGCAACAAATTCAGCATGGTCCTTGCGGCTGGTGATATCTACATCATGGGTGAGTTCCTTGCGGTTTCACCGTTCATTCTGTCTGGTTTCTATTCCGCACGAAGCTTGTCGTCTCAAACTTTAAAGTCTGGTAGTTTTCAAGGTGCCCCCGGCAAAGTAGGCATAAACGAAGAGTGTGGGCAATGGAACACCTAACATAATGGCAACTCGGCAGTGTAGGAAGTTCACCTTTAACATGCCGACATACGCAAATTTGGACCAGTACGTGTCTGAATCTCTGACCATAAATTGAACTGAGATCCTTCCGATCTCCCGATGAATTAATTGTGATCATCGAACTGACCTCATATGTCCTGTGCACGTGACTCTCAGCATTATTTCACTAACGAGGACGCGTAGTCGTCTTCGGGAAAGACCGAACTCGTCCAGAACTGTTAAATCGCACTTTTCGGGAACCTTGATTTTCCTCACTAATCCTTTTTTTGAGGACTTGCCCAGCACTCTATGTAGCCATTTCATCTTTCGTCCACACGCTGTATAAAGCCTTTTTTAACTGCTGAGTGAAACTCTAGGCGACTAGACCTCCGATAATTAAAGGCGACAGATTCCCCATGTTAGTGGCGCCACACTCATTAATGCCCACCCCCTGAATAAACTGATCCAATCAAATTAGCGTCAGTGGAAATCTGGCCAATTCCTGCGCCCCGTGATCCTATCAGGCGTGAACTGTTGTAAAGTTTACTTTTACACGCACTGTGCATACAAGTTTGTCAGGTCAGGGCGATGTCACTTCTCGACGGCCACTTCAAGCTACAGTACTACAAAGCAGGACGATTGTTTCTTTTTTGGGCGAATTTCAGTCTACCACAGGGTAGCGCAGCAGCGAGGGTCAATTCGGCAATGATACTTAGGGGACCTTGCACCGGTCAGATCTCATTTAGTCCGTTGTAAACCTGATTTGACCAACGCTCGTGCCGGTAAATGTGCGTTTAGGAAGCAGCAGCAGCAGCAGCAGCAGTCCCCTGATCAGTGGAATCCGATTGACTGTAGATCGCAGCCAACTGCCAGTACGCACGCGAGTACAGCTTAGGAGGGGGACCATCGTTCCACGTGGAATAACCTCAAAGTTATGGAAAGAAGAACTGCTTTGTTCAGGGTGTTCTACTAGCATTTTCCGCATTTATCAAGTCCAAATAGGTGAAATTTTCCACGCATGTGTAAATTCTGAGCAGTGTATGGCCACGATGTTCCTTATTCAGTGGAAAATTGTGTCTTTACATTACAAATTTCTTTCTCATCCACAAGGGGAATTAACGGCAGCTCTTTTCGATTTTTTTACCAGGTGAACATAAATTGGATTCAGACGACACAGCAAATGCAATGGTGTTTCTGCCAATGGTCGAAGATCGTAGGCCTGGGAAGCCCCCACAACGTTCGTCGGTATGTTTATCAGCGGGACCTTGTCGGAAACAGAAATGACGGCCATGTTATTCTCAACTGCCTGACCAAAACTAGAGCTGCATAGGCCACATCATCTTTGGTGCCAAGTGTAAAGTAACCAGACGAATAAACGTCTGCAGCAGAAAGCCGTAGATCCGAACCGATCAGATTGGTCGCTATCCTAGAGAATATTTCTACGAATGTTCGGGTTACCACTTGACAGAATACCCCAAGCTGCTGCAACAAAAGTTAAGTTTCCGTTCATGAGAAAAATTGGAATGCCAATTTCGGATTACTCGTCCAATCGATGTATCACACAGCCCTGTCCCGCGGAGTGATTCTTGCAGGTTTGAAAATTCCACCTGAAAAGGAAAAACACAGTCGCGATAAATTTCCAACTGCACAGAAGAGGAGGAAACGCAATCTTCAGGAGGTCATGCGCAAAGAGTCCCGGTGCGTCTGAAAGACCTTAGATCCCGTAATGGCCTAAACAATGGACAGACCCGCAGTCCTCCCCTAATGCCCCGGATCAGAACATGGAGGTAATTGGGGTTAGGGTCCGGGTGGGGTCAGGGTTAAGTTTAAGGCTAGGACTGGGGGATAAGGGTAGAGTTACAGTCGAGGTTTGGGTTGAGGTTAGTGTTAGGGTTAAAACTCGGAGATATTTACCCTTTCTGAGGTTTAACGTAAGATCACGCAAATTACGTGGGAGTTTTCCTACCCCTATGTCTTGCCTGGGGAGGGAAGGTGGAGAGGAAATAAGCAACTCCGACCCAGGCTTTCTATCATATTTACGCACCAGTGCGTAGACCTGTAAAATGCGAACATTTTCGCTGACGCATGTACCACTGAATTCAGCCGCTTTTCTTAAAAATATCACAGAGGATATGCCGACCAGTGACGTATTTCACTAGCCCTCGAACGAGAATGCCTTCCACTGAAGTGAAAGTGCGAAATGTTCTGACCCTTGCTTTGTAAGTCGCCTAGGTGTTGTGACCTGCCAGACGAAAGAAAAATCATCAGTCTCATCTGACAGAGGTAAGATGTGACTTCTTCAGCAGAATCTAGGCCTCATTATACGCAGGTTTTTCCATACTTCCGTAGAGTTATCATCTAGTCATTTAAACGTTCCTCTATCCTAAGAGATGATGGCCACTGATTATAATGGTAAGCATTATGATGGTTAGGGGGATGTATAAGGCGTTAAGTGTGCAACCTTCCAAAATTGGTCAAGTGCGCGTTCAGAAGCCGGATGAGAGATGATGAGTGTGATGGATCTAACTACTAACTACTAATGACCGCCTCTGATGTGAAGGACAGGGAGACGATTTGATCGTGGAAGCCGTATTCTGAGAAATTCCTTTAACCTAGAAATGCAATTTTGTACATATGAATGTCACGAGAAGCTAATTGTGAATCAGCGACTCCCGACAGTATAAACCGCGGTTTTGTAGGAAAGCATTTAGCCCAACATTCGTTTGGCGAGGTTGAGCGTTCTAAAAGTAAAACATGCCTATAGCATTTGAGCCATCAAGGATTTCCATAAGTAATCGGGGTACTTTCAGCTAAAAATAACCTAGTGCGTAGGATTCGTCCCACTAGAGTTAGGACTCTTTTTGGACAAATCCTGCAATCATTATTACCTCTTCGGTGGAATGAACGGTGTTAGGGCAAGTCTGCCTAAAAGCGGTTGCTTGGTTAATGGAAAACTAGAATTTAGGCCTTAACATTTCCCCAGGTGTGCGCGATGTTAGCTCTGATTATGTCTACTTTTGTCTATGTGTTTGGTAGGCCAGAGTGGTCCTAAATCAGGCCATTTGGTTGATGCATTGGACCAACAGGGGACTCAGTTTTAAGAAAAGGGCAGTTAATTTGGATGGAACGATTTTGTGGAATTCACTGAATGCTCCTGCTTCTCTTACGGCAGACGACCGGTTTCCCGACACAAATTCGGCAGCCTCACAAGCTCATTTATCTACAAAAGTTTTTTCTTCCTTTCCTTTAGAGCGCCCAGATGTCATCATGGCGGTGGTGGCCGTTGGAAAAACTTGAGAGGACTGATTTCTATGATCGTGGAGGTGTTTTCTTCCAGCCTACTCATAAAAATGCTATTAACAGTTCATAAGGCAAACTTTCTTTTCGTTACAGCAATTGCTTTTTTAAATATATACTTTCACTGCTAGATTTGTTCTTTAATAAAAAAAGTAAGCGTCTAATACCCGGGGTCTTCATTCCCAGCCCACGGTGAATGCCCGATATATCAGGAAAAACACAGTTCTTTCGCTGAGTGTATCTTTCGAAAACAATGTTATATCTAACTAATTTAGTTTACAGTGGTAATCAGCACCTTTCTGGATTCTGTCTGTTATAAAGGAAACTTCAAATAAAAGGATCGCAGAATCAAAATTGCGTATGAATCCGACGCTTATAGTCCGTACCCTTGCCCGTGGGGAGTAGTTCTGGGTTATGTTTGAGCAAGAATCCTACCCAATTCGAGTGGCTGTAAATGCAGCTCATGGAACATGAATGTCATACATTTTATTGATTTTTCTAGTCCGTTTTGGCGAATGTCCTTTTAGCGCAGAATATGTCTGTAGAGAATTTTATCAGCCAAACTTCTTGCAAATATGGGCAAAAATTTACGTCAACTTGTATTTGGGCTGTTTTCTATGTTAATAGCTAGCCTAGGCCAAGGTTGCACGCAAATGCCTATTTTTCTATTAGAAGAGAGCAACCTTAACTCAAGTGTTTTACTAAAAGGGACTTGCCACGCTAGGAAATTTATCCTTTTCACCACGCAAATCGGATGGGACAAGAACATTATCTTTTGAAAACCAGACACTTCATCGATTTTAAAAGATCAGATTTACACATCTGTATGCTTTCATGTCCTAAAACGCAGTGGTAACGCTTGAAAATAAGCCTCTGTTTGAAAGTTCTGGCATTTTCCTGCCCTTTGCTAATGCTCAACAACTAACCGTGAAAATGCCCTCTACTAAGTCACTATGTTAACTTCCGAGCATATGGTAAGATACTTTTCTCATGGTTTAGTTTCCGCTTAATGCGTAATTTAGAAACGGAACGAGCAGCTGACCAGCAGTTTTAGATATATATTAGCCGTTACATCTATCCAGTCTGTTATGCATTTATAATCGTGGAACGCAGCTTTTAGGGGAAGAAAATGGAGCAAGAGAGCTCCAATATTTGGATGAAAGTAGCAGTAACATTATAACTATTTTTCAGGGAAGTGGAGATGATAGCCAAGCATCCCAATTTTAACCTAAACTTTACCCTAGAAAAGGCAAAATACGCGGACATCCGTCTGTAAACTGCATTATTGAAGTGCGTTCTGAACAGGCATTTCATCAAAGAGCAGATGACCAGCAATTTTAGATATATATTATATATATATATACATATTATATATATATATTGTTGATTAAAGCGAAAATGCGCGTTCCCGGACAAAGGATATGGAGGAACCGATGCCGCCATGACAACCATTGCCATACCTTGTGATGCAGCGCGCTAGAAGTCAATGACATGCCAGCACGAAGGAAAACCCAACGTGTTCCGTCTAATTTTCCGCGTGCTACGTATTACATCCAACCGAGGTTTCTGATGACGTTACCACGATCAAAACGGAAGCCACACAGTCTGTCATGCAATCACTTCACATTTTCTTACTGCCAAGGCCTACCTCTAGTCGCTGTGGCCCGTCTCATTCGGTTTCCCCTCGGTTATGTAGTTGGCTGTCTTGCACCAATCAAAATACGCTTTACGTCAAGCAACCAATTGGAACACGAACAGGTAGGCGGCGGCACCAGAATAAACAGGCTGGTGTATTTGTTTACTCGGCATCCAGTTTGCCTGTGAGCACGATGACTACCTTCCAGTCACAGGAGTATGGACCCTTCAAGCTCTTGGAAAGAGACCGGAAACAGGGCAGATTATGTGACTTCACGCTCTTTGTAGGTTCTGCTATTTGATATTTCTGATGTATTCAAAGGCGAATGGTGTGTGCATTGTGGCTCACAAGGTTGTTCTCGCAGCCACGATCCCCTTCTTTAGAGAAGTCTTCCTTCATGGCGGCGAATGTGCTGAATTCGAGGAGTTGGAGGGGCTTTCGCCTGAGTAAGTGTGCCACATGCATTTTGCTTGATGTGTTTTATAGGATGATAGAAATGCTCATTAGTTTTGCGTACAATGGACGGATTGAGATTACGGAAGCCAACTTGGGTGAACTGCTGGATGTGGCTAAAAAACTGCGAATAGACCGTTTGAAGGCGCACTGTGCTGAATACATTTCAACGCGGTAAGTTACCCGAATCCTTTGATCCGAACACTTTACGCAGCACCGTTCTTACCAACAAGATTGAATTTAGCATATTTCTGGTGTGTACATGAGGATTATCTGAAACCGAGCATGTGAGCAAGCATGTATTAGAGGGATGTTTGGTCGATTTAAGCGTAGGTTGTCTATCATAACAGTTCTTTTAAGCTGACGATCAGAAGGGACTCATTCCAATTAAAGTTTAGGTAGCAATGTACAGCTAAGTTGAAAATTAGCGGATTATTAGTTAACCTAGTTACAGTAGGTGGGCTAACTTATGAAATTTCAACCGAAATTCCGAAATGAGTTTTCGTCGCGAAAAGATGAATTAAGTGGAGTTGTAAAACTAATGATCGTACAGCATAGTTCAATAATATTTCGGTTACCTCAGGATGCCGGCTTTCGAACAAACTTCTTTGCGGCTGCATTCGGAAACAATACTCTGTAAAAGATGACTACTTATGCAGCATGCATTTTTCAATTGATTTTCGATGCCCTCAAACATTCAATTATATTTCGTGGAAAATATGCATAGAGAAATTTATTCTTTTGCTCATTCGGTAGAAAATTACGTTCTCTTCCAATTCCATACTCGAAGGAGCAATGTAATTCCGTTTTCAGAAACTTTACCAAATCCCAAATAATTTTGAACCCGACCTGCCGTTACACCTGAATTCAGGGTTTCTAAACTACAGGCCGTATAATTTCCGCGTACGGAAAACCATGCAGTTCTCTACGGTATTAAGAGGAGACCTTATGGGGTTCATGAAATTCGGCAGCGGATTTGAGCCATATAATTAACTTTATAAGCCACATTGGTAAATGCAGAGACATGACGTTTTATGAACGGCCATTTCACGGTATTAAAAATCTCACCATCAGAAACCTTATTAAAACCTAATTATAACACTCCTTCGAAGATAAAATTGGAAGAAGACGTAATTTTCTACCGAATGAGCAAAAAATGAATATTTTTATGCGTGTTTTCCACGAAATATAATGGAATAATTAAGAGCATCGAAAATCAATGAGAAGAATGCCTGCTACTTAAGTGGTCATTTTTTACGGAGTATACTTTTTGCATGCAGCCGGAAAGATGTTTATTCGAAACTGGCATCCTGAGGTTACTGAATTATTACAGAATTATGCTACATGATGATTAGTTTTACAACCCTACTTAATTAATCTTTCGGAATCAAAAACTCATTTCGGAATTTCGGTTGATATCTCATGAGTTAGCTCACCTACAGTAAATACAGTAGTTGACCCAACTCATGGAAAGGGCCCAAATCAACGAAAAATCCTTAATCAATCGGAAACCCGTCCAAATGCACTCACCAAAATACAAAACTTATGATGAGTTACGCTCAGGTAATTAAGTCACAAAAGAAGTATTGAGAAATACTATATTATTAGTCAGAAATAAAGATTATCTCACGAAAAGCAGCAATGCCAAAGTCGCAAATATTCGCACCAAATGAGTGAACTCAATTTTAGAAGTATGCAAATCCTGTTCGTGCAAACAACCGAGTAAATAAATAAATAAATACATACATAAAAATATATTCTGCATATAAAAAGGATCATTTGCGGAGCGAGTAAGACGAATAAGTAAACTGCGCAACGTTAAAGATGTCCAAAAATTAGTACTACCATTTCCATCTTCACGCTTCGTGAGTTAAATCGCATGCTGTGTGCATTCACATGGAGAGTGGTAGTTTACTCATGTTAGGGTGCAAGCTGCGGAAGAAATATTTTGCTGGCCAGCCCGACAAAACATCCTGACTCTTATTTATGCATTTCCAAATCAAGTAAAATCTTAGGATAGTGTACGAATATGAGGTAACCTTGATAGAAGCAAAAGTTGTGAAACGTTCATGCGTAAGATTACTCATTAACGTATTCTCTATAAAAAAGAGTGCTTTTACGGAACGAGTAAGGCAATTATTAAACTGCACAACGTTTAAGATGTCCCAAAATGACTATCTCAATTTTCTTCATCAGGTTTTATGAGTTAGACCACACACTGTATGCATTCACATTAAGAGTGGTAGTTTACGCATGGTAGGGTGCAACCTTCGGGGTAAATATGTTGTCAGTCAACCCGGCTGGCGTAGGCAGGGCAAAACAGCATGACTCCTATTTATTTTACCTTCCAAGGCTACAGAAGTGTGCTGGTGTTCTACCACAGTGTTTCAAGACACAACATTGCGCTATCGGTCCCCAACTCCGTTGTGGGCTTTCCGAATTTCGCACACTCTCCCCCCTCCCCATCGAAACCATACCAGGCATCGGGGTTGACTGCCAATTTGAGCTTGCACTGCAAAATATACCTCTTCCAACATAGTCATGTTTATTTCAACGCTTTCAATGCCGATTAAAAAAACAGGTCCTAAGTACCCAGCAGCATATGCTAGTTTTACCCACACATTTCTGTCGCCAGCTTAAGCCTGAACTCCATCCATCTCGTCCTGGAGCTGGCACACAATTTGGCCATGGAAGACATAGTTGGGGCGTGTATGCAGGGCTTTGCGAATGCTTTTGACGTTTGCATCGATGAGGGCGTAATCTGTGAAGTTGGAGAAGAGGACTTCTGTTCCCTTCTGAAGAGGCCTGATCTGCGCATCAAGGGTGAGGCCTCCCTTCATCGCAGCATCGTCTGCTGGTTGGAACATCGCATTACTGAGGGGGACTTTCGGGCATCTGGACGGAGCGCGTTCGAGTGCCTGGCTTCTTATCCGCACCTTTTCGGGACAATCTGTTCGCTCTTCTTGAAGGTGGACAAAGCCGTG